CTGATGTCAGATGGATCTTGACTCAAAGCAAAGAATATGAGAAAGATGTTTACTTGTGTTTTATTGACCATGTAAAAGCATTCGACTGTGTAGATCATAACAAATTATAGATAACATTGAGAAGAATGCGAATTCCAGAACACCTAATTGTACTCATGAGGAACCTGTACATAGACCAGGAGGCTGTTGTCTGAAGAAAACAAGGCGATACTCCAAAAACAAAAAACAAACACAAAAAAAAAAAGAAAGAAAAACCAAACTCAACTGCTGTGGAGTCAGATCCGACTCACAGCAGCCCCTCCTTGGGTTTCTGAGGCAGTATCACTACAGGCGTAGACTGCCTAATCTTCCTTCTGAGGAATGGATGGTGGTTTTGAACCACCAGCCTTCTGGTTAGCAGTCAAATGCCTTAGGCACTACGCTACTGGAGCCCCTCAAGGTGATACTGCATGACTTAAAATTAGGAAGGGAATGCATGAGAGTTGTAGCCTTTCACCATACTTATTCCATCCATATACTGAACAAATAATCTGAGAGGCTGGGCTATATGAAGAAGAAAATGGCATCAGGATTGGAGGAAGACTCATTAACAATCTGTGATACACAGACAACACAACCTTGCTTACTGAAAGTGAGGATGACTTGAAGCACTTACTGAAGAAGATTGATGACTACAGTCTGCAGTATGGATTACACCTCAATATAAAGAAAACAAAAGTCCTCATAACTGGACCAATAAGCAGCATCATGGTAAATGAGAAAAGACTGAAGTTGTCAAAGACTTCATATTACTTGGTCTACAATCAACATCAGTGGAAGCAGCAGTCAAAACATCAGAAGATGTACTGCATTGGGCAAATCTGCTGCAGAAGACCTCTTTCAAGTGGTGAAGAGTAAAGATATCTCCTTGAAGACTAAGGTTCATCTGACACAAGCCATGGTATTTCCAGCCTCATACGAATGTGAGAGCTGGAAAATAAATAAGGAAGAATGAAGAAGAGTTGATGCTTTTGAGTTGTGGTGTTCTGAAGAATACTGCAAGTACCACGGACTGTGTTCTGGTTACTGAGTACCACTCTGACAGGAATATACCACAAATGAGATGGCTTGAACAAACAGGAGTTTATTCTCTCACAGTTTGAAGGCTTTAAGTCCAAGTTCAAAGTGTCAGGCTCTATGAGCTGGGTGAAAGCCCCTCGACCTTGGGCTTCAGCTCTGCTTCCTGTTCTTAGCCCAATGAAGCTACAGGCATCTCTTCACTGAAGCAGCTACTAGCTGTTGAGGTGAACAAGCCCAAGGTCAACAAATAAAATGGCACAGTCCCGATGCTACCAAACCACATGGCAGGCCATTGGTTTATGGTCTTTGAAAGTCCCAGCATCAGCAGAGCATGGCAGGCTGCTGAACAACTACATGGCTACATGCCATAATCTAGAGACCATTTCCAAAGCTGTTTCTTATATACAGGAAGCAGACCACATACCCAAAGTAGCTACTCAGGTGCTCCAATAGATTCCACCATCGAGTTAATTACCAATCTCACCAAGGAGAATAACTACATTCAGCTGCCCAGCCACTCAACCAGGCCCAGCCAAGCTGACACACAAACTTAACCACCACAGACTGCTAAAAGAACTAACAAATCTGTCTTGGAGGAAGTGTAGCCAGAATGCTCCTTGGAAGCGAGAATGGCCAGACTTCGTCTCACCAACTTTGGACATGTTGTCAGAAGGGACCACTCCCTAGAGAAAGACATCATGCTTGGTAAAGTGGAAGGTCAATAAAAATCAGGAAGGCCCTCAACGAGATGGATTGCCACAGTGGCTGCAATGATGGGCTCAGGTACATCAAGGATTGTGGGGCTGGCACAGGACTGGGCAGTGTTTCATTCTGTTGTACATAGTACATAGGGTCACTATGAGTTGGAGACAACTTGAAGGCACCTAACAACAACATCTTCTAAGGCACCTCTGGGTGAGTTAGAGCCGCCAACCTTTTGGCTAGCTGTCAAGCACATAACCATTTGCTCCACACCAAAAAAAAAAAAATAATAATAATAAACCAAACCCATTGCTATCCAGTTGATTTTGACTCATAGCAACCTCCATTGAGTTTCCAAGGCTGTAAATCTTTATGGACGTAGACTGCCTCATCTTTCTCCCATGGAGCAGCTGGTGAATTAGAACCACCTATCTTTTGGTTCTCATATGCAAATTCCACTTGAAGTTAAAGACAATTAAAACAAGTCCACGAGAGCCAAAATATGATCTTGAATATATCCCTCCTGAATTT